CGTAGGAAAGCTTCTCTTCCTCAATGCAAGCTGTTTTGATTGATTTGTCGGTACATTGCTTCTCATCTATGTCTATTCTCATCTTGTCATCTTTGTATATTACTCCTCGTCTCTTCTCTGTTTTCTCTTTGCCCTTTCTTGAAAGTCAGTATGTCATTTGTGTGCTTCTGTCTTCTTGCATAAGTTATGGTTTTTTATTGATTTCACATAACCTTTACGTCTATTACTGTTTATGTTTTGTCTGATTGTCCTTAAGCTGCCTGTATACTCTGGCTTCGGACATGAGTTCTCTAAGTTGGAAGAAGTATGTATGAATCTTTTAACAGCAAAATTTTTAGTTTCTGTGTTTTCTATATTGGAATTGAGCTTGGGGATATTTGATTTGGCTGATGGACTTTGGTTCTATATCATATTTAAGAGCCAATCACAGTTAAATGCAAAAAGCAAAGTTACAGAAGCAACTACAGGATGCAGGGATCTTGTAAAGGGTTCTATCCCATGATAGAGCAGTAGGTTAGCAACTTTTACATGTGTGAAATTGCAAAAAAGAATGACAGGGGAACCATTTAATCTGATGATGGGTACATGTACAGCCTTATACTTTATCTAACCATAAATATCAGTACTTTGTATCCCTTTCAAGCACATTTCAAGCAGGCTTAAAATTGCCATTAGTCCTATTGTTACTTTTGTCTGTCATTGGCAGAAACTAAGGCTAGTAACGTATTTACTTGCTGAGACCATAAGTTATTGCTTATTTTATGTAGTTTCTGGTTGACAATCAGTTTTGTGGATACACAAAATGGAGATAAATTAAGTGTTTGACATGTGTTTTACATGAAATTTGACTACAAATGCTTATCAAATTAGAAGAAGTTGAATATGATTTTAGCCTGTTATACATATACATGCACACATACATAGATATATACATATCTACTTTATTAGTATATTGTCATAAATTCAGAATCAAATAAAAATATTTTAATATTTAATAAAATGTCTTCCAAATCATGAAGTGTGAATTACATTCCATGTCATTCAGAAGTTGTTATCACTACAATTGTGATGTAATGGCAGCTCTATAAATAAGTTTAACATAATCAATATCATACCCCATTAGTTACTCATTTTCCATCTTCTAGGATTTCTTGTAAGAACAACATAATATGCCTTCTTAAATAGAAGAAAAGCTTGTCAGTTAGCCATATAGTAATTTTGTGCTATTTTTAAACTAGTTTGTGTTATGAACTCATTATAGTGAATGCGAGTGACTTTATCCAATGGTAATTAGCATTTGATCCTGCTGTTTTGTGTTTTATTAACTTTAAAGGTCTATATTAAGATGCAGACTGGTCAATTCATCAGCTTTGCAATGTTGTTATGCAAATAGTTGTTTAAGTGTAGGCTTATGCTTCTATTTAGGTGTTAATTTTTGTAACAGAATATGGCATATCACTATGGTGTTTCCAATTTGAGTAGCATTTTGTAAGACCCGGTTCTTGTTCATATCTTTTAGGCAATCTTCTATGTTTGTTTTGCTTCCTCTTATGTGAGGTTCTAAGTTTGTTACACCAAGAGATAATATGTGCATTGGTACCCTACCCATTTATGATTATAGTAGCCAAACTATGATGAGATACATTGAAATATGAAGAATCTTTTAGGTGGTGTTTGGTATGTGCATTCTTTACATTTGAATTGGGATGATATTTGTAATGATGTGGCTTGGGACTATAATCATTGCGTATACATGTCCTTTACGTTTAGCTTATCTATAATCATAGTGGCCTGATATTTTTGAAAATGACCACTATTAGCCCCTTTCTCCTTTCTCATATTTGCCAAAATTTTAATTAATCCTTTAAAAGCTGCTACCCTACATGTTCACTATTCCATGTCGGTGTATATGTATGTGGTGTGTTTTTGGGTGTAACATTTGGCTGAATCTGTTTCATTTGCTTTTGTTGCAGACCAGAAAAAAGTAATTTGCAACTGAGACACCAAGAAATTATGGACAACAAAAAAGAAGTCTGGATACGACAACTTCAAAAAAGAGTTTCTAAAAAAATGAAGGAAAATTCAGTGGTCTTATAGAAGCCAATGATTCAATGCGAGTGGCAAAAATTATCTATATAACGTGTATTTCCTGCCAATTGAAATAGCTGGGCTGTTACTTATATTACTTTAATCATATGGTGATCCAATTCAATGTAACAAATGAATCATGGAATTTTCTAATTTCATTATTATTTTAGGACAAGTGAAGTGATATAAAACACTCTTTGTGACTATCAAGCAAGCTGAACAAGCAACCAAATCAATTATATATAGCCAATGTCGCAACTGTTTATCAAAATTTTAGGTAGGGTAACTACTGAATTTCTTAAAAAAGTGATTATTCTAGGACAAAGCTCCAGTAATTTGCAACTGAGACACCAAATTTTGCAACTTCGTTAGGAAAATTTTACAACTGGTACTCAAAATTTTGGATCGAAAAACTATTAAGTTCCTACAAGAGTTAAATCTTTTACGACATGACTCTAGTAATTTCCAACTGAGACACTAAATTTTGGAACTTCTTTGGAAATAATTTATAACTTATACACGAAATTCTGGATTGAAGAACTATTAAATTCTTACAAGAGTTATTCTTTTAGGATAACATTTAAGTATTTTACAACTGAGACACCAAATTTTGCAAGTTCTTTAGGAATAGTTTGCAACTAGTACTCAAAATTTTGGATCGAAGAACTATTAAATTCATAGAAAAGTTAAATCTTTTAGGACAATTTTTCAGTAATTTGCAACTTAGACACCAAATTTTGCAACTTTCTTATGAACAATTTGCATCTGGTAGTCGATATGTTGGATCAAAGAACTATTAAATTCTTACAAGAGTTATTCTTTTAGGACAATATTTCATTAATTTGCAACTGAAACACCCAATTTTGTAACTTTCTTAGGAATAATTTGCAACTGATACTCGAAATTTTGGATCGAAAAACTATTAAATTCGTAGAAAAGTTAAATTTTTTAGGACAACGTTCCAGTAATTTACAACTGAGACACCAAATTTTGCAACTTCCTTAGGAAGCATTTGCAGCTGGTACTCGATATTTTGGACCGAGTAACTATTAAATTCTTACAAGAGTTATTCTTTTAGGACAATGTTCCAGTAATTTGCAACTGAGACACCAAGTTTTGCAACTTCCTTAGGAACAATTTGCAACTGGTATTTGAAATTGTGAATCGAAGAACTATTAGATTTTTACAAGAGTTATTCTTTTAGGACAACGTTCCAGTATTTTGCAACTGAGACACCAAATTTTACAACTTTATTAGGAATAATTTGCAACTTGTACATGAAATTTTGGATCGAAGAACTATTTAATTCTTGAACTTGTAAACTTACCAAATTAAAATGTAATAATATATCACTTAGAAACAAGTTACTTTTGACATAAGTGATTTTTGCATCAGTGAGACAGTGAGAACGTTCCATCTTAAAATATGGACACTCGATGATAAATTCTTACACTTTCAGTTGCAAAATGTCGAATCTTCATGCCAAATTTTTAGAGACGTGAAATAAAAAAAAATATTTCATGTTCAGTTGCAAAAAAGTATTCTATCTTCTTCCTTACGAGAGCCATTTTGCAAGAAATTGGACCTTAATGGAGTCAACTTTTTTGTTCAGATGCAGGGATTTGCAAAAAAAAATATCTAAACACACCAGCCAAACAAACTCAGCAGAGAATAAAGCTTTCTTGAGTCAAAAATTATAGGGGCATTTTTATCTTTTTTATCAGAACCCTGATTTGTGAAAAACAGCATGGGACTTTATTAGTCTTTTAAAATTACTTGGGACTTAACTGATATAAAATTGGTCTTTTGGGACTTGATTGTCATTTTCCCAAATAATATTACTTCTATATCATATTAACCTCTTGCAAAATAAATATAATTAAGTATATATTTTCCCTCTTGTTATCTAATCAAAATTAACCTCTGCTTAGATTATAATTTTTTTTTGCCAGATTATAGTTTTTCTATTTATAATACTTATCCATGCAAAGAACTCTTATTTAATATATATATATATATATATATATATATATATATCACTACAATTTTTGCGTACAGTATGCTACAAATTTCTAGTGGTTTTCTGTCTGAATTCAAAACTAACACCATTATTTTTTTCTATGAAATTGAGGCCGCGTCTTTGTCTGGGGCAGCTTTGCAATTTCAACGCGTTGCAGAAACTTTGTTTTGGTTTTAGATAAGATGAGCTTCGTGTTAGAATGGAAGACCCATTTTGTGGATTAAAACTCAAAAGTCAAAGCCTAGGTGATCTCCTCTCTCTCTCTCTCTCTCTCTCTCTCTCTCTCTCTCTGTGTGTGTTCATATATATAACTATAAATATATCCCCCCTTTTATTCTCTTTTCCTCCTCATTTTTTTTCCAGCTTTTTCGTACATTGCTTCTGCCTCTTCTCATTTCTCTCTATTTTTTTTTATTTAATCAAAAAGGAAATATGTGCATCCGAAACTCAGTCAGATACAACATTACAAGTCTACAACATGTCCGATATTATATGTATAATGCATATATTAATTTAACTTGGTATGAGTAATAAAAAAATTGTATGGCAAAAAAAAATAGTAGGAATCTCTGTGTGTGTGTGTGTGTGTGTGTGTGAAATGGTTGGAGATTCATTTAAAACTTTTGCATTTAGAATAAGTTTAGTTATGAAGGACTAATTATAGTTTCCTCCTCTCTGTCCTCTCTGCTCTTCCTTTGATTTCCTACTGCTAGATTTTGAGCTGTTCATCAATGAAATTAAAATATAACAATAAATTAAGAAGCTAAGGAAGATATTTCTGTTCGTGGGATTTGGACAACACGACTGCTTGATTAAGATGAAACTTGTTCAAAGCACATTACGAAGCATACAAGACCAAAACCAAAAACAATAAGCAATGCTTCATGAAATAAAGCCTCGAGTCCAAATAAAACCAGGAAACACACAACGAAACAAAAACAGAGAAACAGAAACAATACACAACAAGAAGCATTGTTTACTTTTCGGGTTGAGATGGCCTCTGCCTTCCATAGCCTATCAGGCGCCCTATCTGCTTCTTGGTGCTTCCCTTTGATGAAGAAGATGAACCCTTTGAATTATTTCCATTGCCGTTGTTGTTGTTGTTGTTGTCTGAACCAGAGATTCGTCCATAACCTAAATAATCTCCGATTAACTTGTTTCCCCCTGAATTATTTGAAGAACTCATCCCTGCATTAACAACAAATAGTGACTGATGCTACCCCAAAAAAAAAAAAAAGTGACAGATCCAGCAAAAAACAGAATCGGAAGCCCATAACTCCGTTACGGAGCAGGGAGTGAAGACGGGGAGCGGAATGAGGACCGTGATGGTTCAAGCACCCCTGTCGTCCACTTCTCTCTGTTCCCTTATACTCCGTTCCGAGAGAGAAAACTTAAAAGAAAAGAAAATAAGAAAAAATTGGCAAAAATTACAATGACAATAATACTCTAATATTTAGATATATTGTGTCATTGTTCTATTAAAACATACAGGAGAAAAAATCATATAAAAATCCATCAAAATATTTTGAAATAAAACTATTTGGCCAAAAATTATATTTTTATATTTTTCTACTTAAATATCAAAACCGATAATTTTTTAAAATAAAATATAATAGGTTAAAAATCAACATGGATATAATTAAAATAGTTAAAAATTTAAAAATAAAATGAATGATAGGCAATAACTAATAAGAGATTGTTCCATGTGAATATGTGATCCCAACGCAAAAGTGACGTGGCGGTTTTGTCAGGGAGAGAGAAGTGAGGCTATCAAGTGTGGAGAGAAAATTTGGCCAAAAAGTGTGGTAGCCCACGCCTTATTTTTCTTCCCCCTTGTCTTCCCTGTAACTTTATCATCCACGAGGGATAAACTGTTCAGTTTTCTTTCTCTCTTGTAGTTTTCTTCTCATCCAAACAGGGTTAATCTCGCCCGCTCAGGGCAGCGAAGATGTCCGATGAATGGCGGCAGCGGAGCAGGGAATGTTCCCAGACCGCTGCTCTGACCCGGGCCATCAAGCACCGGTTTTGCCCCATCCTCGCCACGGTTCAGCAGAACCAGTCCAAAAACAAAAAATAAAAACAAACAGAGCAGGGTAAAAAGAATGGAAGACTAAGCAGCATTATCACCACTTTACTTGAGACTCAGAAAGAGAAATAAACATTCCAACCCAAAAAAAACCTAGAACAGAGCATAGTGGAAACATAAAAAACTTCAGACTGGAAGATGGAAACAAACAATCTAAACAACCAATATGATTTCTATAAAAAAAGGGGGGGCAGAGATGGAAAGGCTGGAAGAACATAACGGTGACAGAGCACCGACGAGATAGAAAGAATGGAAGACTGAGTAGAGCGAGATTACCACTTTACTTGAGGCTCAGATAGAGAAATAGACATTCGAATGCAAAAACATCAGAAGAATGGATCTGCGTTCTTTTTAACTATCAGTTTCTGCAAGTAAGAAGAGAAATCATAGCAGAAAATGATAATTTGCACGGTGACATTTGAGCATGCATACAGGGAAGGGAGAGTTTACCTGCGGGTCGGCCAAGGATTGCTTCAGATCTTTGACGCCGGAGATCTAAAAACAACAGAGACTTTGATTCTAATGGAACAAAGAGGGACAGAGTTTCGGTGCTCTGCTTCTATCAGAACAGAGCGAGTGAAATAAGAGTGCAGGGTGTTTGGTGTTTTGCGCGAGAACAAAGACATGGCTTTTATTTTTAACAGTTAATCTCGACGGTTCAAATTTATGAGGAAAAGGAAACTAGGACAGTTGGCAAGTACGAAAAGGAAAGAGTGAGAGAAGCAAAGCCAAGTATGCAGGAGTGTTATGCACGGGAAGCATTCAATACAATATCATTATACATATATGAGTCAAAAACCATTTAAAAAAAATATGACACAAAAAGAACAATTACCTAAACAATTAAGAACAACATAATTATAATCTTCGTGATTATAATGTTCTCAAAACTAATTACCTGGACAAATTAAAGTTTTATATTATTGCATGATTCACTTTTGTATTTGATATGAAAGATATTGAAAAATAATAATGTTGAGATAAATTAGATGAGTATTTAAAATGTACAAAAATAGTTTTTTATGCAAAGATAGTTATTTTTTATAATGATGTAAATGTAAGAATAATTAACAATGTTTTCTTTCCCCTTTCTTTGAAAATCTAATCAAATTAGTCCTTCATGATAACTTTTAAGGAAAGTAAATTTTGAAATCATGTTTATTCATCCTCTGCCTGCACCTAAACCATCATCTCCCAAATTGCATGTTCATCCTACATGGGTGAACTGTAAACAAAAAAAGATAAAATAACAAAATCATAATGGTTAAAAAGAGCACCTAGAACTGTTAACAATTTCTAGAAATTCTATCAATTAAAGAAATTTAATAATAAAGCAATATTACCATACATAACAAAATCATCATTGTTTACATTTGTGAAGAACGCATCTAGCTTCTCTTTCTTCCACCTATTTCTCATCAAAATTAACAATGCCAAGTATCAAGTTGTCCTTTTCGAACTTTCTAGCAGTCATATCGGATTATTCTCATGCTTGATAGGATCATAAATTATTTAGTTAATCAATATATACACATATATATAAATTTTAATTAAAGCATAAAAGATAACATGCATGCCATTGTGAATAATTATATTGCATGACACGTTTTTTGGTTGAAAAAGTGACGCATATATTTGACATTAACATGACTAGGAAAAACATGTATGATGAGTCAAAACATGTATATTTGATATTAGTGGAGACCGGGTCGCAGAGTTTACACATAATACAGGATGCCTATGAAGGAGATGAGTGGGCTATATTTAAGCTTAGCGTGGGACATGGGGCTCAAAAATTTGTCTAACTCATGATTAAAGAAACAGGTAGTTTGCTTCAGCTATAGATTCTCTTGATGCTTTGTCTGGATTGGGAGATACGTGTCTCACACATACCAAGGAAGCAAGATTTTGTGGCAGATATGTTAGCTAATGAAAGACTTGATTCTTCTTCCTTTCTAGGTACAGAGCTTGAGACCTCAATCCCCTCCATTTTTATTTCATTTACTGGGCTTTTGCCCTCTTTTGTGTATTAAAAAAAACATGCATGATGTAAAATATATTTTTAGTTTTATTTTTTTATAGTTTTCAAATTATTATTATTATTTGTTTAAAGATAAAGCAAGAAATTCCTCAAGGTATTACATAAATAAAATATATAACCACGAAATTTAGAAATACCATGCAAGATTTGACCCAAAAAAAAAAAATAAAGTGAGATTCTTGAGCATAAAGAAAATGAAAAAATATAGTGTTTTTATTAAATAAAATTATGTTAATAAATAAATAAATAATTATTTCATCCATTTATTTCAATACTTTAAATATATTTTTTAGAACAATGGTTCGAAAAATTTATTTTCAATTTTTATTTTCAAAACTTGATCTTTTTAAAATAATTATATGATGTATTGAAATTTTAATTATTATTATTATTATTAAATTTATGTAAAAATATTTAATAACAATATAATTAAAAATATGTAAAAAATTAAAATAGATAAAAGTTTCAATTTACGTTATTGAAAAACCGTGAAATAATTACCCATGTTTTATTCTATAATAAAAAAAATAAAAAGTACATGCACAGTCAACATAGAAAAGGGAGGGGAAGGGGTCTCTCCTTTTTTGCAACTTTCTTTTCCCTCACCTTTTCCAATACTCGTCATGCATTAATTTTATAATTTAAAAATTATTTAATGAAATGATATAAATAGTAAGAATTGAGAAAGTGAAGGAAAAAGAAGTTAAAAAAAGGAGAGACTCCCTCGCGGGAGAATCAGAATTGGGCCAAGTAAAACCAAGTTAGACAACGAAATAGCAGAGACTTTTCATTGGAAAGCAGAGAGGAACAAATTCAGAAAGAAACAACACCCAAACCTCCTAGAAAATGAATCAAAGGAATTGTTGGGGCAAAAAAAAAAAAAAAGAATAAAAGGAATTGGCCTCTCTAGTCTCCACCTACAACGGTGAGAGAGAGAGAGAGAGAGAGAGAGTAGTGGAAAACGGTGACCCTATCTTCATTGTGCCTTCTTATATATATTTTTTAATTAAGAATTGATAATTTTAACTGTGAAAAACGGAATAATTTTTGGTCTTTATGGGATCTCACATTAATTAATGGTTTCACGAATCAGAGTTGAAGTGTACAACAAATTACTGAACGATAAGAATATGTGCGTTCTTGCGCCAGTAATAGTTTAATAGGGATGTATATGGATGGGATTGGGCATGGCAAGTACTCTGCTTGATACCCAGCCAGAACAATCATCAAGCTATAAAACAATGTTTTAAAAATTGAATTGGACAATAAATCAGAAATATCAATGGGTCACGGATTTTATAGTTCAACCAGTTAGACCGGTAGTTGAACCAATGATATAATAATTAAATAAAAAATAATATTTATATACATATATATATTGAAAAACGGGTCAAAACAGTTCAACCATTCTAGATTTTGGGTTTTTGCTTCGAATCTTTAAGCATCGCCTGGGTCAAAACGGGCCAACTCGAGTCAACTGTCAGAATGGGCCAAATAGTTGAATCAAATCGCTTTCTTCTCCAAGTGATGGTTCAACCAGTCCGACCATCCGAGTCGATTTGGGTCTTAAAACATTGCTATAAAATGCAGCATGTTCTCCAACTCTATCTACAAAAAGCCCTAACATTTCAGGTTGGGCTACCTTCGGATTGTCTTGCCCTATAATTCCACCCTACTCATAGAAAACTCCTACTAAATTCACATAATAAATCCATAAGTCTCTAATTTTTTTAAATTAAAAGACAAGTTAAAATATGGAGAAAGCTAAAATTGTAAGCAGATTAACTAGAGATCCTTAGCAAGATATCCAGAAAATCATGAAACATAATCTGCCACAAAAGTATTAAGACACCACAATATCTAGAAATATCCATTGATATCCAGAACCCTTCCATCCAAAATATCACATGATTAACACCCATACTCCATAAATTCACATAATAAAAGTACCAATCTACCATAAACTTTAGGACAGCACAATATTCAGAATCCATAATTCAACTCAAAACAACATTCAACATCCAGAATTCAGAAAAAAAACATTAAAACAACATATTTCAAAATAATTCTAAGTCCAAACATGGCAACATATTGTAATTAAATCCTCCAAGTCCAAATGGCATGTGATGAATCTCGTTGAAGTTCACAAAAGGTTGGAGCATTTGAAAAAAAAAAACATATCACAAAAATAAAGTAAAAAAAAAAAAACCAAAGTCATCAAAGTAAAAATTAACATATATAAAGCAAGAAATCTACTTGTAAAAAATGCCCTTCTATTAGCACCAGTAGTTGCATTCTCCCCTCCAAGCATTGCATCTAAGAAAACAATCACATTATTACAAATGACAAAGTAAGATGTGTGTGTGCTTGTGTGACTTATTAAACTTTAGATAAAAATATTACTTGTAAGTTAAATGATATGTTCAATCTCATCAAGGTCATCAAATTCATGAAGCTTGTCAACATACTCAAAGAGAGATTGCCTACTTTACAGCCAATTTTGTCCACAAATCAATGCTTATGTCATCTTAGGAGATAGATAACTCCTTATAATAATCAAATGCATGTCCACTAGTACTAAATGTAAATTCAAAAGCCACTGTGGAAATTGGAAGAGCCAATACATCTTGTGTCATGTGGGAGAGAATTTTATATTTTTAGAATTTGCTTTCCACCATAGTAGTATGTCAAACTCAAGATCAAATGATGAGATTTCATTTCTAGAATCAGTTGCAAGATATCTATCTAACTCACTTTATAGTTCCATTGAAGTTCTTTGTTTTCAAAGACTCTAACCACATTGTACCTAGATCATCAATGTCATCATCATCATAAAGAGTAGGCAATGAACTTGTGGATGAATTATTTGAATAGGTAGGCCTTGACTCAATAGAAACCCCAACGCAATACTCTTCAAACAATTGATACAAATAAGTTTTGACCTTATCCTTCATAATTTTACATTCTTTAGTGTTAATGAAAAGGAATTCAAACATATAATTTACATAAACTAATTTATATTGAGATCTAAAATTACAACCACAATCATCAATGAATTAATATTATTTGCTTGACCCCAGTACTTATCAAACTTCATTTGCATGCTAAAGCTCATCTCTCCCAAGAAAATTTCACCATTGTTTGCAATATGCTTTTGTAACATATGCTAAACACGAGCAATTTGGTGAAAAAAATCGTTTGATATTATAACAAGGGAGCTTGAAAATTTTAAAGTTATGTCATAAAAAACCTTCAAGAATTTGATGGAGACTCTAACATTTTTTTCAATCATCAAGAATAGGACCACAAAAAATACCTCCCTCATTCATAGAGCTAAAGAATGCAATATAGTCATCATTTTCATCACGCATCTACTTAAGCGCCTTTTGAAATTTCATTGCAGCTTCTAATATCAAATTTGTTGAATCCTATTGAGTGCTGACATGAAGGCAAACAAGGCTTTTGGTTTCTAATTATTCATATTGAGCCCAATTTTTAAACTTTAGGAAGCATGAAGGAGAAGAGCGAACACGTCTCACAACATT